GACCTATAAGAGAACAGTCCAATGAGAGCGCTAGTAGGCGTGGCCGCGACGTCGTTTCGCACGCGAAACTTACTGCTATCGAGCCCCCCTCCTTCCCGTTCGACAGCAAAAATTTCGCAAAATACGTTGTAAAGCGGGTCGTACAGAAGGGGGCCCTTAAGGGATAGAAGGGGGACTCTCCACCTAAAGGTCTGCACAATATGTCTCTAACTTCCTCTATGAACACGGATGTGCTTTCGTAACTATCAAAGCGGTTATTGGCTTGATGCCAACAGGAAACTCGTCCAAAATGCTCGTCCAATGGAGTGGAGAACAGAAGCTTTTCTCGCAGGTTTTTGGTCGTTTTCTTCTCACCGGTCAGCATCTCTGCTATTATTTGAGCAAGTACCAAATAATCGTGCCTTGTGCCTACAAGGAACGCACTTATTTGTCGCCAGCGGCTGGTCCCACGCGCGCGCAACTTTGAATTCAAACGCGCTGTGTGCATGTGCACAACACTCTGAACACCGTAATCTCTCCTGGTCTATTATATACGAACGAACGAATAAACTATGTACTGAATGGATAACCTTATTTTCTCTTATAGTGGGTAAGCGCGCTGCTCCAGAGACACGGTGTCACATGCTGGAATCCACACAAGTTGATTATATCAGTTTTTCTAACATTCTCTTTTGACTACATTCTTTTTGCCCCTGCATGTTCCATCAGAACGGCGATCTCATAGGTGAGTTTTCACATTTCCTGAATTCTAATATTTGTGAATGCGTCGCCATTTTCTCCGTGCTTTCATTTTCGATCCCATTCTACATTACCCTTTCTTGAACCTGTCTTGCATGCACTTTATATATCCCCTTCACATTACCATTGCTTTGTGGCGTAGAGAATCATCAGGTTTCTGTCATGGCTTCCGAGATATTCGCGGTGAATGCTGTTACGCGAACCCTTCGGAAAACCACGAGATGACCTGAGGTGTTGAGCAAAACTTCTTTAGGCAGCGTTCAGACTTTTAGCGCTACGCCGCGCTACAGCTGTAGCGCTACTGTACCGAAGTCCAGCTAGATGGCGCCAGTGACACAAACCAATATAATACTCGTGATCACGACCCTCGGCAACCCCCCACACCCCATCCCCCTCCCTGAAAAGGAAGAGGGGCTCAGGAACACATAAAATGAGAAATGAAGGGAAAGGGATTGAATTCCGAAAAAAATGGAATCTGGACTTCGGTACAGTAGCGCTACAGCTGTAGCGCGGCGTAGCGCT